CTGGGAGGTTGATGCTACAGTTAGCTGTGATTGTGCCACTGCACTCCAGCCTGGGTGAGAGTGAGACCTTGCCTCAAAAGTAAATAAATAAGTCAGGCCAGGCACAGTGGCTCATGCCTGTAATCCCAGCACTTTGGGAGGCCAAGGCAGTCGGATCACCTGAGGTTCAGAGTTCAAGACCAGCCTGACCAATATGGTGAAACCCTATCTCTAAAAAAAATAAAAATAAGACAGGGAAAATATGGCATATATACACCATGGAATAATATGCAGCCCTAAAAAATGATGAGTTTGTGTCCTTTGTAGGGACATGGATGAACCTGGAAACCATCATCCTCAGCAAACTGACACAAGAACAGAAAATTAAACACCGCATGTTCTCATTCATAGGCGAGTGTTGAACAATGAGAACACATGGACACAGGGAGGGGAGCATCACACACTGGGGTCTGTGGGGGGAAACTAGGGGAGGGACGGGGGGGCAGGAAGTTGGGGAGGGATAACATGGGGAGAAATGCTAGATATAGGTGATGGGGAGGAAGGCAGCAAACCACATTGCCATGTATGTACCTATGCAACAATCTTGCATATTCTTCACATGTACCCCAAAATTAAAACACAATAAAATATATATTTAAAAAAATAAATAAATAAATAATAAAAATAAAAAAATGGCTGGGCGCTGTGGTTCATGCCTATAATCCCAGCACTTTGGGAGGCCGAGGTGGGTGGATCACAAGGTCAAGAGATCGAGACCATCCTGGTCAACATGGTGAAACCCCTTCTCTACTAAAAATACAAAAATTAGCTGGGCATGGTGGCGCGTGCCTGTAATCCCAGCTACTCAGGAGGCTGAGGCAGGAGAATTGCTTAAACCCAGGAGGCGGAGGTTGCGATGAGCCGAGATCATGCCATTGCACCCCAGCCTGGGTAACAAGAGCAAAACTCTGTCTCAAAATAAATAAATAAATAAATAAATAAAAATAAATAAATAAAATAAGTCGGTGTAAGCATCTGCGTTGGAGGCTACTGCAGAGGTGCAGCTTCTCTGCCTTTCAAGCTGACTGCTGCAAATAAATCGGCCAGCAGGCTCCTGTGGCTGGGCTCTTCTAATTTTCTACCCACCAACATCTCTGCAGCAAACAGTTATTAGTCCAGGGGACAGCAGCGTGTGGGAGATGAATTGGGTTCATGACTACTGTATTCATTTTGCAGGGCTGCTATCACGAAGTACCACAAGCTAGGTGACTTAAAACAAGAATGTGCAGGATCATGCTCACACCAGAAGATCTAGAGAAGATCCCTTTCTCGTCTCCTCTGCTTCTGGCTGCTGAGAATGCATGGTGTTCCTTGGCTTGCAGAAGCATCACTCCAGTCTCCAATCTGCCTCATCTTTGTTTGGCCTTCTCTGGATTATGTGTGTGAATCATTTTTTTTTTTCCCCCTGAGGACACCAGTCATTGATTTAAGGCCCACCCTAATCTACTATAAATTTTTTTTTTTTTTTTGAGAGGGTGTTTTTCTCTTGTTGCCCAGGCTGGAGTGCAATGGCGCAATCTCGGCTCACCACAACCTCTGCCTCCTGGATTCAAGCGATTCTCCTGCCTCAGCCTCCTAAGTAGCTGGGATTACAGGCATGCACCACTACGCCCGGCTAACTTTGTATTTTTAGTAGAGGTGGGGTTTCTCCATGTTGGTCAGACTGGTCTTGAATTTGAACTCAGGTGATCCGCCTGCCTTGGCCTCCCAAAGTGCTGGGATTACAGGCTTGAGCCACTGTGCCTGGCCTATAATCTCATTTTAATTTACCCAATTACATCTGCAGACTCCACTTCCAGGTGAGGTCACACTCCAAGGGCACTACTGAACCCAGTACAAGCACCTGCTGTCCTTTCAGGTGTTCCTGGGGTGATCAGCGCAGTGTGGAGTGCTGCTTTGTCAACAACCCCATCCACCAGTTCTTACAGCAGAAATTTCTCCAGTCCATACCTCCCTCTTCACTCCAAATCTTCCAGGAGGGATTAAGTCATTTCACCCCTCCTGAAATCTCGCATCTTCTGCTTCCAGCTATGAGAGATAAGCACTCCTCTCTGCAGCATGTCCACGGTAAATCCTCGCCCCATGGCCACTTTCAAGGTACCAGCATGAAGTGAGTGAATCTAGAGCAGGAAAATGAACAGATGTCTCCTCCACCAGAGACCCTCAGCACTGCCCAAAGTGGGACACTTTCTCTTTACTCTTAGTGGTTTCTACCGGAGACTCTGTCTTCTGCCATAACCTCACCAAAAATCACCACAGGAGATCCTAATTATCCTGCTTTTATTGCTTTTGAGATGGGGTCTCACTCTGCCGCCCAGGCTAGAGTACAGTGGTGCCATCGACCCTAGCTCACTGAAGCTGCGAACTCCTAAACCTAAGTGATCCTACAGCTTCAGCCCTAAGTAGCCGGGACTACAGGTGCAACACACCTGGCCAATTTAACAATTGCTATGTAGTCCAAGCTGCTCTCAAACTCCTGGCCTCAAGCAATCTGTCACAGCCTCCCAAAGTGCTGGGATTATCAGCCATCATGCCTGGATTGATTTTTTAAAATTTTTGAGACAAGTTTCACTCAGCCTCCCAGGCTGGACTGCAGTGGCACAATTTTGGCTCACTGCAACCTCCACTTATCATATTCGAACAATTAACATGCCTCAGCCTCCCAAGTACCTGGTACTACAGGCATCTACCACCACGCTTAAGTAATTTTTGTATTTTTAGTAGAGACCGGGTTTCATCATGTTGGCCAGGCTGGTCTCGAACTCCTGATCTCAGGTGATCTTCCCGCCTCAACCTCCCAAAGTACTGGGATTACAGGTGTAAGCCACCGCACCCAGCCTGATTTTCTTTTTTTTTTTTTTTATATTTTTTTCTTTTTATTTATTTATTTATTTATTTATTTATTTTGGGCGGGGGGACGGAGTTTCGCTCCTTACCCAGGCTGGAGTGCAATGGCGTGATCTCGGCTCACCGCAACCTCTGCCTCCTGGGTTCAGGCAATTCTCCTGCCTCAGCTTCCTGAGTAACTGGGATTACAGGCACGCGCCACCATGCCCAGCTAATGTTTTGTATTTTTAGTAGAGATGGGGTTTCACCATGTTGACCAGGATGGTCTCGATCTCTTGACCTGATGATCCACCTGTCTCGGCCTCCCAAAGTGCTGGGATTACAGGCTTGAGCCACCGCGCCCGGCCTTTTTTTTTTTTGAGACAGAGTTTCGCTCTTGTTACCCAGGCTGGAGTGCAGTGGCGTGATCTCTGCTCACTGCAGCCTCCACCTCCTGGGTTCAAGCAATTCTCCTGCTTCAGCCTCCCGAGTAGCTGGGATTACAGGCATGCGCCACCATGCCCAGCTAATTTTTGTATTTTAGTAGAGACGGGATTTCACCATGTTGACCAGGATGGTCTCGATCCCTTGACCTGATGATCCACCTGTCTCGGCCTCCCAAAGTGCTGGGATTATAGACATGAGCCACCACGCTCGACCTCAGCCTGATTTTTATATTATACCAGTTATGCCAAGATGCTACTGTTGGGATGAAAGGTACATGAATGCGACTATTCTTGCAACTTTCTCTGGGTGTTCATTATTTCACAAGTAAAAAAAAGAAAAACAAAAAGATTATGTAAGCCAGTCAAAGCAAAGCAATGCAGCACAGTAGAAATAAATGAGGCAGCTACAATTTAATATCTCCATTTTCCCAACCCAAATAAAAATAGCCTTCCTCCAGGCGTGGTGGTTCACGCCTGTAATCCCAGCACTTTGGGAGGCAGAAGCAGGTGGATCACCAGGTCAGGACTTCAAGACCAGCCTGGTCAGAATGGTCAAACCCTGCCCCTAGTAAAAATACAAAAATTAGCCAGGCCCAGTGTCAGGAACTTGTCATCCCAGCTACTCTGGAGGCTGAGGCAGAATGGCTTGAATCCAGGAAGCAGAGGTTGTACTGAGTTGAGGTTGTGCCATTGCACACCAGCCTAAAGAGTGAAAACTCTAAAAAAGAGAAAGGAATATACTAAATTTGTCTTAGTAGCAATCATGACTAAAAAACTCCCTCTTCTTAACTTCTCCACTACTCATATATTGCTTTTTTTTTTTTGAGACAAAGTCTTGCTGTTGCCAGGCTGGAGTGTAGTGGCATGATCTCGGCTCACTGCAACCTCTGCCTCCTGGGTTCAAGTGATTCTCCTGCCTCAGTCTCCTGAGTAGCTGGGACTACAGGTGCGTGCCACCATGCCTGGCTAACTTTTTGTATTTTTAGTAGACAGGATTTCACTGTGTTGGCCAGCTTGTCTGAAACTCCTGACCTCAGGCCATCTGCCTGCCTTGGCCTCCCAAAGTGCTGGGATTACAGGCATGAGCCACAAGGCCTAACCTCATTTCATTCTTAAGTAAAACTTAACTAAAAACCTGATAGTGTCACATTAGGGAAGAGATTTCTTCAGTAATGGTTTATGCAATAAAATGTAAAAATTATTAGACTGTGTATGACAACATGCCCCAGAAAGTGTAAAATCAAAAACTTTTAAATAAGCAAACATAGCACACCAATATTCAAAGGAAAAAGATTTACTATGAAGAGTCACATAATGGCAGGTAATACAGAGTTGTGAAATTTCTTTTTTTTTCTTCCTCTTTTTGTAGATGGTTTCACCACATTGCCCAGGATGGCTTCACACTCCTGGGCTCAAGTAGTTTTTCCTATTTAAACTAACCTTACCATCTCTTCCCCAGTGATTTCTTTACCAGTCCTCCTGTTTTCTGCTACATTGAAAGGTTATATTGATAGGTGTGCCCCTCCCCCTGGTAATATAAGTTTACTTTTAGACACGCTAGGACAATATACATTCTAAAAAGACTAGTCAACTGCAGTAGTAAGGTGGGGTGGGAAGCAGAACAGAAATTCTATCTGTAACTGACAGTGAACAATTATTGAAATAACTCACTCCCTTCAGACAAGCCTATTTTCTTTTTTAACATATCCTTTAACTTTATTAACATCTAGGTAGTATCTGTAATATGTCTTGCTCCTCATCCCTAAGTATGCTGTCAACTGTCCATCCTTCTGGGTACAAGTGTATTTTCCAGTTTTACTTGTTGATTTTTGGATGTGTGCTGGGGAGGACAGCATACTGTGTAGTCACCCTAGACCACTAAAGTATATTCTCCAGTAATTCTCTCAACGTGGGCATATGTGAAACATAATCTCTAAATTCTTCAGTATCAAGAAATACCTTTGTTTTACCACCAAAATCAAATGCCAGTTTGGCTGGATATAGAATTCTAGGATTAAAGCCTTTTTCCAGCAGAGCTCTAAAGATATTGCTCCATTTACTTCTAGCATCCAGTGTGTCCAGTGATAAGTCTGCTGTCAATCTGATTCTTCTTCTTTGGTAGGTTATTTCTCTTCTCTCTCTAGAAGCCCTTATTATTTTCTCTTTATCATTAGAATTCGAAAATTTCACTAAGATGTGTCTAGGAGTCAGTCTCTTTTCATCAATCTTACTAGGTACTCGGCAAGCACTGACAATCTCAAGACTTGAACCTTTCTTTAGTTCTGCAAAGTTTTCATCAATTATTTCCTTAATTATGTCCTCTGCTCCGTTCTCATTATTCTCCTTTTCTGGAATTCCTATCAAACGAATATTGGAGCTTCTGGATATATCCTCTCTCTCTCTTTGCCTTTCTTTATGAATTATCTGTTTGGTCATTTGCACTGTATCCTTAGAGAATTCTTCAATTTGATCTTCTAGACTGTCTATTCTTTCTTCAAGTAAGTCCATTCTGCTACTCAGATCACCTACTGAATTTTTAATTTCCAAGACACCTGGATGGGAACTTTTCAAATTTCCAATCTCCTCTTGTATCTCTCTGATGCTATTAATCACACTACTCAAGTTTTCTATTTCCTGTGTTAAGTCTGATTCTTTGGATGTTAGTTCTTCTGTTTGCAGAGTTCTGTGTCTCTCTTCTGTTTCCTTACAGAACGCTGAACTCTGTTCCTCCTCTGTCTCCTCCTCTAATTCTGAGGCCTCTTCTTCCTCGTCCTCCAGCTCTGAGGTCTCTTCTCCTTCATCCTCCATCCCTGAGCCCTCTTCATCCAGCAACTCTAGCTCGGAAAACTCTTCCTCTTCTGTCTCTAAGTTGTTCATCTCCCCTGGCTTAGCAACTTTTACCTCTTTAATAAATAGAAAGTTCAAGCCATCATTGGTCATTTCTCCAGCTCTGTGTTTTGAGTCTAACAGGGTGTTACCCTGAAAGTTAAAAAACAATAAGGAGTTATTTATTTAAATCATTTTTCTCTTAAAGAATTAAAACTTCAATTACACTAATTTTAATATGGCTACCATTTGGACAATTAGAAAATACCTGAAAAATTGCTTAAATATTAATTGTTCTTGAAGGCCTAGGTCCCCAAACAAGTCAAGTTTCCCTATGATCACAAGACATTACTTCTGTAATATTTGGAATGAATTCTGAGGTCACGTCTATTTTTTTTTTTTTTTTTTTTTGAGACAGAGTTTCATTCTTGTTGTCCAGGCTGGAGTGCAATGGTGAGATCTCAGCTCACAGCAACCTCTGTCTCCCATGTTCAAGTTATTCTCCTGCCTCAGCCTCCCGAGTAGCTGGGACTTCAGGCATGTGCCACAATGCCTGGCTAATTTTTTTGTGAATTTTAGTAGAGACAGGTTTCACCATGTTGGCCAGGATGATCTTGATCTCCTGATCTCGTGATCCACTCGCCTCAGCCTCCCAAGTGCTGAGATTACAGGAATGAGCCACCGTGCCTGGCCATAATATCTACTTTCTTCCTTCTAGATCCCTCAACACTTACTGCTGTGTATGTGACTGGCCCTCACTAATGACTTGTTTTAATGAATTGTCTGCTTGTTATATGTGAGAGCCCTATGGTAAATCGACATTGTAATCCGCCTGAAGTTTACAATCTGCTTTAGGAAGATCATGAGCACACACACAAAAAACCCAAGTTCACATTTACCTTTCTCCTACAGATATAACAATAAATTTAATTTAAAAAAATCCCAATTGCAATTTACACTTTAGCCTGATGACTTTAAAAGCGAGCAGGTTTTGGTTAAGAATACAACAGGCTCAGTTCAAAACTGTATTCAAACCCTGACCCAACTGCCCCATTTGCTACGTGCCTCACTTTTCCTTATAAAACAGAGTCTAGTGTCAGCACCACCCCAGGATTGTTGTAAGGGTAGAATAAAGTAAGCAAGCTACTGAACTTCTGGTGATGTCTGCAATATAAATTTGGCTCCTAACATTCCTTGAAGCCTTTAGTCTGCTATGGAGTTTTTCAACCATCCCAAACCCACCAGGGCAGGTTTAGATGCGTCATCTATGTAAACACTGAAAGCAGCTAATTTTTGAGATTACATATTGATTCTTAAATAATTTGTTGACTCAAGTGTACCTTCTCCTTCTGGATTCTCATTTTGAACAGAGGTTACACTTGGGAATGTTGGAAAGGCAGAGGAGAAGCGTTCATCTGAAAACATGTAAAAAAATATTGGCTTAAGAATATAGACCTTGGCTGGGCATGGTGGCTCACATCTGTAATCCCAGCACTTTGGGAGGCCAAGGCAGGTAGACTGCTTGAACCCAGGAGTTTGAGACCAGCATGGACAACATGGCAAAACCTTGTTTCTACAAAAAGTACAAAAATTAGCTGGGCTTGGTGGCATGTGCATGTGGTCCCAGCTATTGGGAGGCCAGGATAGGAGGATCACTTGAGCCTGGGAGATGGAGGATGCAGTCAGCCCAGACTGTGCCACTGCACCCCTGCCTAGGTAATCGAGCAAGATTCTAAGTAAAATAACAAAAACAAAAACAAAAACCCCTTCCAGCACAGCGGCCATTGGAGAGCAGCAGCCACAGCTCTGTGAGCCCAAGGCTTTGGCTTTGGGCCTCAACAAGGGCAACAGGGTGATCAAGGACATGAGCAAGCCCAGGCACAGCCACTGCCTCAGGCATCTGACCAAATATGCCAAGTCAGTGTGGGACATGATCTGAGATGTGTTGCTTCACCATGTAGGAGTAGCACACCATGGAGTTGCTCAAGGTCTCAAAAGACAAATAGGCCCTCAAGTTCACCAAGAGAAGGGTGGGGCCACATATCCACACCAAGAGGGAGAGGAGCTGAGAACCATCTTGGCCACCATGATGAAACCGGCTGCCACGAAGGACTGAGGCCCCCTTGCCCTCTGCCCATAATAAACCCTCCACAGAAAAAAGTGCCCTTTGAATCATTACTTTTAGCATCATGCTTTAACCTTTAAGGAATCATTTTTTTAAAAATTGACTTATCGCCGGGCGCGGTGGCTCAAGCCTGTAATCCCAGCACTTTGGGAGGCCGAGGCGGGTGGATCACGAGGTCAAGAGATCGAGACCATCCTGGTCAAAATGGTGAAACCCCATCTCTACTACAAATACAAAAATTCAGCTGGGCCTGGTGGCGCGTGCCTGTAATCCCAGCTACTCAGGAGGCTGAGGCAGGAGAATTGCCTGAACTCAGGAGGCGGAGGTTGCGGTGAGCCGAGATCGCGCCATTGCACTCCAGCCTGGGTAACAAGAGCAAAACTCCGTCTCAAAAAAAAAAAAAAAAAAAAAATTGACTTATCGTTCAAAATAACTATGCCAACTATTCCATTTACACATAAGCTTTACATATTTGTATGCTTACCCCGTTTTCTTGAATTCCGTATCTTCCTCCTCGATTTATTTCTTCCTTTTGTAGGAGTACCTCTTTTAGTAATTCCTTCATAGAAGATTTTTGGCTGGCAAATTTTCTAAGGCTTTGCAGATCTGAAAATGTCTTTATTTCACCATCACATTTAAATGCTAATTTAACATCACATAGAAATTTAGGTTCAAAATCATGTTCTCTGAGAATGTTGAAGACATTACTCCATTGCTTGCTGACATCCAGTGTTGCTGATGAAAGGTCAGCTGCCAGGGTAAGCACCGTTCCTTCATCCAACATTTTTTCTTCTCTGGAGGCTTTTAACATTTTCTCTTTATTCTTGAATTTCGGAATTTTCCTTTCTTCTCTCACTTCGAGAGATTCATCCTCTCCATTCTCCCTAGTCTCCCCTTCTCTAAGTTCTAAATGGATGTGGCGATTTCTCTGTCTGTCATCTACATTGCATAAGGTTTCTTCCATATTTCCCATGACTTTGTAAGTTCTTGATTCATTCTGGGGTAATTTCTTACCTTCATCACTATTGTATTCATTAGGATTGTCTAATTTACCACTTAGCTCATCTACTTTTATTTTAAAGGTTAAATTTTCAGTATCATCAATTATTTTAGAGTTTTCTCCTTCTATTTTTCCTGCCTTCCCTGTTGTTTGTGACACTGAGTTAATTAATTGTTGAAACTCTGTCCTGTGACTGGAGTTCTCTGAATTCCTTCCCTCAGGTATTGTAGTTTTTGCTCCTAAAATTGCCTTTAGGTCATTTTTAAGAGTTTCCTTCATCTCATCAAACATCTGGTCTTGAATTTCCATTAAGATCTTAAACTTATTCATAATAACTGCTGATACATCCATGCATTTTAAATCGATTATCGGAGCCATTTCCTCATCAGTTTCTATGAACTGCCTTCTTTCCATACAGGTGACATTCTCCTGTTTCTTTGCAAATTTAGCAGATTTTGATTGTACACTAGACATTGATGACACATCAGACATTGTGGGTGTGTTGTCAAGACTGGATTCTGTTTTTAATTCCTGCAGAATGATTTTTGTTCTTACAGGCCTGCTAGACTTCAGAAACTCAAAAATCTTAAGATACGTCAATCTGAAATACAAAGAAATGAAAAATTACCTATTAAAGAATTCTCAAGAAACTTGTTAAGAATATGAGCTTAATTAAGAAAACTATGCCGTGTGTACAGCATAATATATTAATGAAAGGTGCACTAACGAAATGGATATCTGTACACAAAGACCCGAAAAAAAAATTAGAATTCAAAATTTAGCTGGGCATGATGGCTCACATTTGTAATTTCAATACTTTGGGAGGCTAAGGTGGGTGGATCACAAGTTCAGGAGATTGAGACCATCCTGGCCAAGATGGTAAAACCCCATCTCTACTTTAAAAAAAAAAAAAAAAAAAAATTAGCGGGGCATGATGGCACGCGCCTGTAGTCCCAGCTACTTGGGAGGCTGAGACAGGAGAATTGCTTGAACCCGGGAGGCAGAGGTTGCAGTGAACCGAGATCGCACCACTGCACTCCAGCCTGTGTGACAGAGCAAGACTTCATCTCAAAAACAAATAAAATAAAATAAAATGAAAACTCCCTTTATGTGAAGATTTGAATGAAATTAATTAACCAAAGAGCCGATAACTAAGAATGAAGCTGACTTGCTGTACCATTAACTTTGTTGTCTATGCTCTCTATGAGTATTAAGCAGATTATGAGGAAATAGATGTCAATTTTAAAAAAATGAACATATGTATCATACCAAATCATCCAAGTCTCAGGTAACTTGAATGAAATCTTACACAAAATTAAGAAACAGGTGTCTCTTTTGAATTACAGAGATTGTTAACATTAAGACCTTTTCTGAAAACCAGTTATCAAGTCAATTCAGAATATGACTTTCTTGGCCAGGCATGGTGGCTCACGCCTATAATCCCAGCACTTTGAGATTGAGGTATGAGGATCACTTAACCCCAGGAGTTCGGGACCAGCCCGGGCAACATAGACCTGTCTCTAAAAAAATTAAAAAATTAGCCAGGCATGGTGGCACACGCCTGGGGTCCCAGCTACTTGGGAGGCTCAGATGCGAGGATGACTTGAGCCTGCGAAGTTAGGGCTGCAGTGAGCTGTGATTGTGCCACTGCACTCCACCCTGGGCGACAGAGTGAGACCTTGTTTCAACAGAATAATGTTGGCCAGGCGCAGTGGCTCATACCTGTAATCCCAGCACTTTGGAAGGCCAAGGGGAGGAGATCACCTGAGGTCAAGAGTTCAAGATCAGCCTGGACAACATGGCAAAACCCAGTATCTACTAGAAGTACAAAAATTAGCGGGGCATGGTGGCAGGCACCTGTAATCCCAGCTACTCGGGAGGCTGAAGCAGGAGAATCACTTGAACCTGAGAGGCAGTTCAAGCCTCTCCCCTGTCCCCTTACTTGAAAAATAAGAATCATATAAGCAGCTAATACATTATTCATGTCAGGGCAAAAGATATATGAAGAATTTCAGTTAGGCAGGGCACAGTGTCACACCTGTAATCCTAGCACTTTGGGTGGTTGCGGTGGAATCATCACTTGAATCTAGAAGTTCAACACCAGCCTGGGCAACATAGTGAGACCCTGTTTCCAAAAAATAATGCCAGGGCCGGGCGCAGTGGCTCATGCTTGTAATCCCAGCACTTCGGGAGGCTGAGGTGGGTGGATCACAATGTCAGGAGTTCAAGACCAGCCTGACCAACATGGTGAAACCTCGTTTTTACTAAAAATACAAAAATTAGGCGTGGTGGTGTGTGCCTATAATCCCAGCTACTCAGGAGGCTGAAGCAGGAGAACTGCTTGAACCAGGGAGGTGGAGGTTGCAGTGAGCCGAGATCCTGCCACTGCACTCCAGCCTGGGCAACAGAGCAAGACTCCATCTAAAAATAAATAAAATAAAATAATAATTTCAGAAAATTTTCATTGAAATAAAAAATGAGCCAGGAAAAATAATGATAGCACAAAATTAAAAGATAAATTATTCCAACACTTTGGGAGGTGGAGGCAGGCAGATCATGAGGTCAGGAGTTCAAAGACCAGCCTGACCAACATGGTAAAACCCTGTCCCTACTAAAAATACAAAATTTATCTGGGGGTGGTGGCACATGCCTGTAATCCCAGCTACCCAGGAGGCTGAGGCAGGAGAATTACTTGAACTTGGGAGGCAGAGGTTGCAGTGAGCCGAGATTGTGCCACTGCACTCCAGCTTGGGCGACAGAGCAAGATTCTATCTCCAAAAAAGATTATTAGAATCTGGAATTAAATTCTAAAAAAGCAACCACACAAAATCATTAAAGTTTCTTATATAGAGTTTGTATATATTGATAAGCAAAAGCAAGGTTAAGTTTGGTGGCTTATATCTGTAATCCCAGCACTTTGGGAGGCTGAGGAGGCTGGATGATCACCTGAGGTCAGGAGTTCAAGACTAGCCTGGCCAACATGGTGAAACCCCATCTCTACTAAAAATACAAATACCCCAAAACAAAATGGGTATCTGTACACAAAGACCTGAAAAAAATTTGAATTCAAAATTTAGCCAGGCATGGTGATGGGCGCCTGTAATCCCAGCCACTCAGGAGGCTGAGGCAAGAGAATCACTTGACCCAGGGAGGCAGAGGTTGTAGTAGTGTTCTCGCCACTGCACTACAGCCTGGATGACAGAGAGGGACTCCATCTCAAAAAAAAAAGAAGAAAAAAACTTGAAAAACTAAAACAAATAAAACACTTTTAGAGAAGAGAATATAAATCAAAAGTAAACTTGTGAAAGGTGGCCCCAAACCAGGAGTTGGGTATATAATCAAAAAACTATGAGATCCGTTCTGCCTATCAGAGGTGGGAGTAAACACGTCAGGAAATTAGAAAAACCTACTATTGGGCTGGGCACGGTGGCTCATGCCTGTAATCCCAGCACTTTTGGAGGCAGAGGAGGGCAGATCACGAGTTCAAGACCAGCCTGGTCAATATGGTAAAACTCCATCTCTATTAAAAAACACAAAAAATTAGCCGAGCGTGGTGACGTGTGCCTGTAGTCCCAGCTACTTGGGAGGCTGAGGCAGGAGAATTGCTTAAACCCGGGAGGCAGAGGTTGCAATGAGCCAAGATGGAGCCACTGCCCTCCAGTCTTTAAAAAAAAAAAAGGGAAATCTATTCTTTTTTTTTTTTTAAAGATGGGGTTTCACCATGTTGGTCAGGCTGGTCTTGAACTCCCGACCTCAGGTGATCCGCCCGCTTCGGCCTCCCAGAGTGCTAGGATTACAGGAGTGAGCCACCGTGCCCGGCCAGGAAATCTGTTATTAAAGTCAGAAATAATACATATACTCTCTGCTTGAGAATCTACCATTAGGAACCAAACCACCTGTACCCTTAGAAATATATGGATAGAAATTTTAGTGCTGAGTTTTTTGTGACCAAAAAACAAAACTGCGAAACGATGCCCTTTAGTAAGAGAAGGGCTGAACAAATGATGGTTTGTGCACATGATGGGATTATGTATAATAGATATATATGTAAAAAAACATTAATTTATAAAATGTACATTATAATATCCATTATGTTATGTATGTATATACTATATAAATGGTGCATACAATATACTTTTAACGTACATGTAAAAATTATATTATACATAAGAGTGTATTAGATTGGTTAAAGATGCCGGGCGCGGTGGCTCAAGCCTGTAATCCCAGCACTTTGGGAGGCTGAGGCGGGTGGATCACGAGGTCAAGAGATCGAGACCATCCTGGTCAACATGGTGAAACCCCGTCTCTACTACAAATACAAAAATTCAGCTGGGCATGGTGGCGCGTGCCTGTAATCCCAGCTACTCAGGAGGCTGAGGCAGGAGAATTGCCTGAACCTAGGAGGCGGAGGTTGCGTTGAGCCGAGATCGCGCCATTACACTCCAGCCTGGGTAACAAGAGCGAAACTCCGCCTCAAAAAAAAAAAAAACAAACAAAAAAAAAACAGATTCCAGTGTTTGAACACCCTTATTATAGCCAGTGCAGGGGCAAATATCCGCCCTGGCCACATTTATAGTGACCCTGGGGATTTTTAGACCTTTTCAGTAATTAATCTGGCCGGTGCTCTATCATCTAGCACTACCTTTTTTTGGTAATGTGTTTTCCAAGAGTCACTCTACATAGTACATGACAGGTGCCATGAGAAATTGGAAATTAATTAGTATTTTAAAGAGACAGGGTTTTGCCGTGTTGCCCAGCCTATACTCAATATCCTGTCTCAGCCTCCTCAGTAGCTGGGAATACAGGCATGCACCACACCACACCTGGCTTGCTGGCTCACCCATGTGATCCCAGCACTTTGGGAGGCTGAGGCGGGTGGATCACTAGGTCAGGAGTTCGAGACCAGCCTGGCCAACATGGTGAAGCCCTGTCACTAAAAATATAAAAATGAGCTGGGCACAGTGGCATATGCCTCTAGTCCCAGCTACTCAGGACAGTGAGGCAGAACTGCTTGAACCCGGGAGGCGGAAGTTGCAGTGTGCCCAGATTGCCCCACTGCTCTCCGGCCTGGGTAACAGAGTAAGACTCCATCTCAAAAACCAAACAAATAAAAACAAACAAACAAAAAACCCCTCACAACTGCAAATTACTTGAATGCCTACTGCTGAGGGAATTATTGAACCAAAACATGTTCAAAATATGGCATGTCATACATAGAAGAGTGAGGTGTGCACCTATAACTGGAAAATTACAAATGACCAAAATGATTGATAAAATAAAATGTTAAAAGTATAAATCGCCGGGCGCGGTGGCTCAAGCCTGTAATCCCAGCACTTTGGGAGGCCGAGGTGGGTGGATCACGAGGTCAAGAGATCGAGACCATCCTGGTCAACACGGTGAAACCCCGTCTCTACTAAAAATACAAAACGTTAGCTAGGCATGGTGGCGCGTGCCTATAATCCCAGCTACTCAGGAGGCTGAGGCAGGAGAATTGCCTGAACCCAGGAGGCGGAGGTTGCGGTGAGCCGAGATCGCGCCATTGCACTCCAGCCTGGGTAACAAGAGCGAAACTCTGTCCCCCAAAAAAGTATAAATCTATTTAAAAAATTTAAAAGTCTCCTGACCCAAGGAAAGGCACACACACTAAAAGTTGAAGTGGCATTCTACTTTATTGTCCTCCCATGCACCCATAAAAATCAGGCACTTTAGCTTGGTACGGGGGCACGACTGTAATACCAGCTCCTAAGGAGACTGAGGGGAGAGGATCACTTGGACGCAGGAGTTTGTGGCTGCAGTGAACAGTGATCGCACCACTGCTCTCCACACTGGGCGAGAGTGAGCTCTTAAAAAAAAAAAAGAGAGAGATACCACACCAAACTTTGGGTGGCCTCAGAGGTCAGATTATAGAGATTGAGGTAAGGGAATATATATGTACTTATAAAAAAGAGAGGAAAAAATAAAAGGGAAGTCCATAAACTCCCAGCAAATTCAGAAAAACACATTAAAACAGGCTGCCAGTGTTGAAAAGGTAATTCACCACAAAGGAAATGCAAACAGATAAACATATGAAAAGACACCAGTCACAAGCCAAAGCAATGCAAATCAACAAGCTTTTTTCCAGACTTAAAGGGAAAGTTTATCTACCCTCACAACTCCCAATGCCTTAAGGGAAGTGCTAAACATTTCTTGCCCTTCCCAACTGGTGTTCTCGTATATTGCATACTTGTAGAGTAACCTCCTTAAAATATAAAGCAAAACTTAGGAGTACGCTGATGAAAACCTTCCAAGTCTTCTAATCACATTTCCTTTTTTTTTTTTTCCGAGACAGGGTCTTGCTCTGTCACCCAGGCTGGAGTGCAATGATGCAACAATCATAGCTCACAGTAATCTTGAACTCCTGGGCTCAAGCCAGCCTCCTGGCTCCACCTCCCAAGTATCTGGGACTGCAAGCACAAGCAGGACACCTGGCCCCTAAGCCCTTCTGATGGCTGCCATGCAAGCCTGAGGCAAAATTTGCTGAAGTTGTTCCAGCCTCTGCTTTCTCCTTGATGAGGAATTCTGAACTCTCAGTGCCTGTGGCTAGAATTCAGAGTATCTGACATCTTGGATGTGAAAAAGGCCATATATTGATTGTCATTAAACTAATTATAATTTAGCATTTAGTGTTTTTAGTAGAGACAGGGTTTTGCCATGTTGGCCAGGCTGGTCTCGAGCTTCTGACCTCAGGTGATCCACTCTTCTCAACCTCCCAAAGTGCTGGGATTGCAGGGGTGAGCCACCATACCTGGCCCTACCTTTTAATCTTGAAGTAGTGAGAGTGCACAACTGTTTTATGATACCTGCAACAACTGTTATGTGAAAAAAAAAAAATGATGTCTGGTGATGAAATTGTGGGTTCTGCTAATAGCATCTGACTAAAAAAGGTTCTGACCCACAGTAGATTATAGGCAGAACTCACTTCTTTATCAGACCCAAGGTCACCTCCCGCCCTCTAAAATACAGCCCCCAGGCTGGGCATGGTGCTGCCTCAAGCCCTAAATCCAGCACTTTGGGAGACTGAGGCGGGCGATCACCTGAGGTCAGGAGACCAGCCTGGCCAAATCGGGGAAACCCCGTCTCTACTAAAAATACAAAAATTAGCCAGGCCAGGTGGCAGGTGCCTGTAATCCCAGCTACTCGGGAGGCTGAGACAAGAGAATTGCTTGAACCTGGGAATCAGAGGTTGCGGTGAGCCTAGATGGCACCGTTGCACTCCGGCCTGGGCGACAAGAGCAAAACTCCATCTCAAAAAATAAAATAAAATACTCCTCCTCAAGCCCACTAGCACATTTGCCCTCCACTGATGCTGCCCCTAAGCCACTGAACTACCTACCAAGTCTCAGCAGTTCTTCCACCTCTGTACCTTCTCGGGGAAGACAAGCTCTCTGCAGAGCAGGCCTTGGTGCCTAGAATTCAAGTTCATAACACAAAAGTCAAAGTTTAAGGTTTATTAAAAGTGGAAAATCACCTCATATTGTAGACTGGAATAAAAGTACTTATCTATGCATGTGTTTGCTTAAAAAGACACAGTTATTAGCAGAGTCTTGGGTGCAAGTCGGTTTGCACAGAGCTGCAGGGAAGGGGAGGACCCCGAGGCGGATCTGAGGAGGCCAGGGGGGGCTTAAGAGAATGTTTTTTGCTTTGTAAGTTGGAGGTCCATTATCGAAGACAGGTTTTCCTTTTGTAATTTGAACAAGAATCCATTTGCCTAACAATTGGAGGAAATCGAAAAAAATGCCTAAGTTATTACTTCTAAATCAATTTTCCGGGTTTGTTTTTCTTTTTTTGAGACGGAGTCTCGCTCTGCTGCCAGGCTGGAGTCCAGTGGCGCAATCTCGGCTCCCTGCAACCTCCGCCTCCCGGGTTCAAGCGATTCTCCTGCCTCAGCCTCCCGAGTAGTTGGGACTACAGGCGTGTGCCACCACATCCAGCTAATTTTTATATTTTTATTGGAGACGGGGTTTCACCATGTTAGCCAGAATGGTCTCCGATTTCTTGACCTCGTGATCTGCCCGCCTCGGCCTCCAAAGTGACCCACCGCCACCGGCCTGAAACGCTCTTTAGGAAAAGGTTGGAGATGCATTTCAAGGCCCCAGACCTGGGGAATGGAGATGGGATGATCTGTCGGGCCCCAAAGTTCTTCCTTATCCCTTTGCTTCCCAAAGACACTAAACAGTGGAAGTGTTCGCCTCCCTCCACCGTTTTTTGTTTTGTTTGGTTTTTTGAGACGGAGTCTCGCTCTGTCGCCCAGGCTGGAGTGCAATGGCTCACTGCAACCTCCGCTTCCCGGGTTCAAGCGACTCTCCTGCGTAAGCCTCCCCAGGAGCTGGTATTATAGGCATGCGCCACTACGCCCGGCTAATTTTGTATTTTTAGTAGAGACGGAGTTTCGCCATGTTGGCCAGGGTAGTCTCGAACTCTCGACCTCAGGTGATCCGCCCGACTCAGCCTCCCAACACGCTGGGATCACAGGCGTGAGCCACCCAGCCCGGCCTCCTCGATCCATTTTTTTTTTTTTTTTTTGAGACGGAGTTTCGCTCTTGTTACCCAGGCTGGAGTGCAATGGCACGATCTCGGCTCACCACAACCTCCGCCTCCCAGGTTCAGGCAATTCTCCTGCCCCAGCCTCCTGAGTCGCTGGGATTACAGGCACGCGCCACCATGCCCAGCTAATTTTTTGTAGTTTTAGTAGAGACGGGGTTTCACCATGTTGACCAGGATGGTCTCGATCTCTTGACCTCGTCATCCACCCGCCTCGGCCTCCCACAGTGCTGGGATTACAGGCTTGAGCCACCGTGCCCGGCCATCTCGATCCATTTTTTAAAGCTAGGACTTGTCAAGCATCTCTTCACTTTCTTGACTTCATTTTCTCCACCTCACTTTAAAGGTTCCCATTTTAGGGGCAGAGAAATCTTAGGATGGTTTTTTTCTCACTGCGCCACGGACGGTAAGGGAAAGAGCAGGAAGCAAAGTGAGGGGGCCAACTGCGTGCCTCATCCCGGGTCCCAAGCACCTGGACCAGCCCTGCCCGCGGCACCTCGGGCCCCACGCGTCTAGGCCAGCCTTACCCGGGGCACCCCGAACCCTACGATCCTGGGCCAGCCTTACCTGGCGAAAAAGGAATCCGCCTGGGCCACCGAGAAGCGAACAAAGTGAGGACGGAGCCTTGTAACTAAGAGCTGAGAGCACTCTGGATCTCTCTGGCGGTCTCCGCCCCTCAAGGTGTGTCCCAGCCCCCCTGTCTACACACCCCCGCCTCCTCCCCGGAAATCGCATTCCGCCCTAAGCAATTGCTGACCTCTACTGCGGTCCCCCTGCTGGGCCCAATTCCCTCTGACTCTGCTGAGCCTCGGCTTGAACGAGCCCCACCCCTCAGATTCGACTCTAGACTCAAATCTGAATAAAGACACCACTAAGCACTTCATCGCCCAGGCCTGAACCCCAAGGTCACCTCTTTCCTTGTCTTCAACCCTCGCAGTGAATCCGTTCCTGAGACCTTGAATTTGCCCGCTTCTCGCCGTCTCCGCAGCTCCAGCCCAGGCCATGCCCCGCCGTCTCTCACGTGCATCACTGAAATCACCTCCAATTGCTCCCTGGCCTCTCTCACTACCGCTCTGCAATCCTTCTCTCCCTCCAATACCTTTCAGTGGCTTCCTGTTTCGGTTACATTTCTACCTCCTCATTCTATCCTGACTGCCTGTTCAACACTGTCTTTGCACTGCCCTCCTCACCGCTGAAACACTGTCTCCCGTCTCTTCCTTGGAAAACACAGAACTTCCTGCCTCAGGGCCCTTGCACTGCCTGTTTCCTCTGCGAGTTTTTATTTTTCTTTTCTTTTCTTTCTTTTTCTTTTTTGAGACAGAGTCGCCGGGTGCGGTGGCTCACGCCTGTAATCCCACTTTGGGAGGCCGAGGAGGGCGGATCACGAGGTCGAGAGATCGAAACCATCCTGGCCAACATGGTGAAACCCCGTCTCTATTTAAAAAAAAAAAATAGAAAAAAGAGAGAGAGACAAGAGTCTTGCTCTGTGGCCACAGCTGGAGTGCAGTGGCATGATCTTGGCTCACTGCAACCCCAGCCTCCTGGGTTCAAGCAGTTCTCCTGCCTCAGCCTCCTGAGTAGCTGGGATTACAGGACCATGCCACCATGCCCGGCTAATTTATGTATTTTTGTGAAGACGATTTCACCATGTTGGCCAGGTTGGTCTGGAACTCTTAACCTCGTGATCCACCCACCTCCACCTCCCAAAGTGCTGGGATTACAGGCATGAGCCACTGTGCCCAGGCCCCAAAGTTGAGTTATATAAAAATCAATTGGGGAAGAATGACATATTATTCAAGCTTTACAGCAATGAAGATGAAATCTCAGGCAAGTTACTTAACTGCTTTGTGCCTATTTCTTGTAAAATGAGAAAGACTGTGGTGTCAGCCTCATAGAATTGTTGATTAAAGTCAAACATGCAAAAGTGTTTAAAATTGTGCCTATGGCATAGTAAACCTTCCATAAATTTTTTTTCTTTTTTTGTATTTTTTAGACAGGGTCTCACTGTGTCACCCAGGCTGAAGTGCAATGGTACACTATCCGCTTACTGCAACCTCCGCCTCCCGGGTTCAAGTAATTCTTGTGCCTCAGCCACTCCAAGTAGCATGGATTTCAGGAATGCACCACCATGCCTGGCTAATTTTTGTATTTTTAGTAGAGTCAGAGTTTTGGCATGTTGACCAGGCTTGTGTTGAATTCTTGACCTCAAGCAATCTACCCAAGTCGGCTTCCCAGTGTTGGGATTACAGGTGTGAACCACTGTGCCCAGGCCATAAATGATTACTATTAACATTAATGCCATCATTTGTTTAAACTTCCTTTTTTTTTTTTTTGAGACAGAGTCTCATCACCAGGCACCAGGCTGGAGTGCAGTGGCACAATCTCGGCTCACTGCAACCTCCGCCTCCCGGGTTCAAGCAATTCTCCTGCCTCAGCCTCCCAAGTAGCTGGGACTACAGGCACACGCCACCACACCCAGCTAATTTTTTTATATTTTTAGTAGAGACGGGGTTTCACCATGTTGGCCAGGATGGTCTCGATCTCTTGACCTGGTGATCCGCCTGCCTCGGCCTCCCAAAGTGCTGGGCGTACAGGCTTGAGCCACCGCGCCTGGCTTGTTTAAACTTTCTAAAAATTTTTTATCATTTATTTATTTATTTTGAGACAGAGTCTTGCTCTGTCGCCCAGGCTGGAGTGCAGTGGCACCATCTTGGTTCACTGCGCACTCTGCCTCCTGGACTCCAGAGATTCTCCTGTCTCAGTCTCCCAAGTAGCTGGGATTATAGGCGAGCGCCACCATGCATAGCTAATTTTTGTATTTTCGGTAAAGACGGGGTTTCACCATGTTGGCCAGGCTGGCCTCCAACTCCTAACCTCAAATAATCTGTCTGCTGTGGCCTCCCAAAGTGCTAGGATTACAAATGTGACTCACCACGTCTGGCCTCATTTTTTAAATTAGAGATGAGGTCTCGGCCGGGCGCGGTGGCTCAAGCCTGTAATCCCAGCACTTTGGGAGGCCGAGGCGGGTGGATCACGAGGTCAAGAGATCGAGACCATCCTGGTCAACATGGTGAAACCCCGTCTCTACTAAAAATACAAAAAATTAGCTGGGCATGGTGGCGTGTGCCTGTAATCCCAGCTACTCAGGAGGCTGAGGCAGGAGAATTGCCTGAACCCAGGAGGCGGAGGTTGCGGTGAGCCGAGATCGTGCCATTGCACTCCAGCCTGGGTAACAAGAGCGAAACTCCGTCTCAAAAAAAAAAAAAAAAAAAAAAGAGATGAGGTCTCACTATGTCGCCTAGGCTGGTCTTGAACTTCTGGGCTCAAGTAATCCTCCCAACTCAGGCTCCCAAGGTGCTGGGATTACAGGTGTGAGCCACCACACCCAATTATTTAAACTTTTTGCAGGTTTTTTTTTTCTGAAATAGATCTTATCCATTTTTTTTGTTGATATTATTTCTGAGTAGCTGGGTGCAGTGGCTCATGCCTATAAGCCCAGCACTTTGGGAGGCCAAGACTGGAGGATGGCTGGAGTCCAGGAGTTCAAGACCAACCTGGGCAACATGGTGAAACCCTATCTCTTTAAAAAATATAAAAATTACCCAGGCATGGTGGTACACACCTGTAGTCCCAGCTACTCAGGAGGCTGAGGTGGGAGGATCACCTGAGCCCAGGAAGTTGAGGCTGCAGTGAGCTAAGGCTGCACCACTGCACTCCAACCTGGGTGTTGGAATGAGACCCTGTTTAAAATATATATATATATATATATATTCCTGAGTAAAATTGTAAAATTGATTTTCATTACTATTGTGAATGATACTTTTCCCCTAGTCTATTCCTGATATGTAGGAAAGCAGTAGCTGATAGCCTGTTGCTGGTAGCTCATAGCCTGATAGTAGTTCATAGTCCAGCATACTGAAACCGCCTTTGCAAAATTATGACTGAGACAGTGAAAGAAGTCTAACTTAATCGACTCTATGTTGCTTCTAACATCCAAGCTGTCCCTGTTCATTCCTGGGCATAGGCTGAACTAACTTTGAGAGAAACTTAGTTTACAGTTTAAAACAAAGACGATGACAGCCCTTTCCCAAAGCAGAAAGGCTAAAAAAAAAAAAGCAGAGTGCCTAGATTGCCTTTGTAGGATGAACGGTAGCCGCGTGATTAGAAACTATGGTTTAGGAGTCATGCAGCTGGAGGCTACCGGGTTCCGACCCTCCCTAAACTGCTCCTAAGATCAGTGCTTGAGATATTTTGCAGACCCTGCACTTCAAGGATCAGCAGGCACCACCCAGATCAAACTGGCTTATCTGATCTTGTGGCCTCCACCCAGGAACTGACCCAGTGCAAGAAGACAGCTTCAACTCCCTATGATTTCATCCCTGACCAATCAGCACTCTTGGCTCATTGGCCAACCCACCAAGTTATTCTTAAAAACTCTGCTTCCTGAATGCTCAGGGAGACTGATGAGAGTAGTAAGAAAACTCTGGTCTGCTGGACAGCCGGCTCTGCACAAATTACTCTTTCTCTATTGCAATTCCCCTGTCTTGATAAATGGGCTCTGTCTAGGCAGTGGGCAAGGTGAACCCACTGAGCAATTACAGCTTCTCCTGGGACAGATAGATCCTGTAAACAGGTCATTTTAACACAATATATTAATTGAAAAGGTAAAGATAAGCAAGCAACAGGTTTCATGGAATGGCAGAGGAAGCTGCATTAGCAAAACTTGCAGAGGAGGTCTGAGGAAAAGTTTTTCGGAAGTTGTAATAGGGAACTGAGTCTTGAAGAACAAGGCATTTTGCACAATTTGTGGATGTTGTTCTCCCGTAAGTCAGTGAAAAACAAACTTTGTAAACTATTTGAAGAGATTTATTCCAAGCCAAGTACAAGTGACCAAGGCCCATGGCAAAATCTCAAGAGATCCAGAGAATATGTGCCCAAGGTAGTTGGGTTACAGCTTAGTTGTACATGTTTTTGGGAGATATAAGCATCAATCTATACAGGTAAAGTACGCATTGGTTCCCGTCAGAAAGGTGCAATAGGTGGATACAAAGATTTTCTGATTGGCAATTGGTTGAAAGAGTTATTGTCTAAAGATCTGGAATCAATAGAAAGGAGTGTCTGGGTTAAACTAAGGGGTTGTGGAAACTAAGGTTCTTATTATGTAGAATAGATGGTAAATGTCTCTTATCAGGCCTTATCTTTTTTTTTTTGAGATGGAGTCTCACCATCTTGCCCAGGCTGGAATGCAACGGCTCAATCTCAGCTCACTGCAACCTCCGCCTCCCAGGTTCAAATGAGTCTCCTGCCTCAGCTTCCTGAGTAGCTGGGATTACAGGCCCATACCACCACATCTGGCTAATTTTTATATTTTCAGTAGAGATGGGGTTTCACCATTTTGGCCAGGCTGGTCTCAAACTCCTGATCTCCTGATCTACCTGCCTTGGGCTCCCAAAGTGCTGGGATTACAGGTGTGAGCCACTGCACCCAGCTCTTTTTTTTTAAAAAAAAAAAAAAAAGAAAAAGAAAGAAAGAAAAAAAGAAAAGTGAAGGAGAGGAAGAAAGAGGAAGAGGGAGAGAGAACAGGAGTCTTGCTTTATTGCCCAGGCTAGAATGCAGTCTAAAAATGGGTATTGAAAACCTCTTTTATGCCAATAATTGTGCTTAATAATGGAGACAGGAAGAAATGAGGGAAGAAAATAAACAAGCAGCCAACCAATATTTCATTTAAACCTGTGAAATGCTATGCAATTACTGAGGAGTCATTTACTTCACTTTTAGAGTAGGTGTGATGTGGTACTGATAAGAGTGTATATTTTGGAGGCCGGGCGCGGTGGCTCAAGCCTGTAATCCCAGCACTTTGGGAGGCCGAGGCGGGTGGATCACGAGGTCAAGAGATCGAGACCATCCTGGTCAACATGGTGAAACCCCGTCTCTACTAAAAATACAAAACATTAGCTGGGCATAGTGGCGCGTGCCTGTAATCCCAGCTACTCAGGAGGCTGAGGCAGGAGAATTGCCTGAACCC